GTAACAGGCTAAATTGGTAATTGGTACTAGCAGTTCTTCCTTATGATCCAGGTGTTATTATTACAGATAATAATTAATAATAATAGATAAAAATTATCCGTACTTCTTACTGTGAATTTAATTTCTTCCTACAAGGACATGCACAAACAGCAATGCTTTAGAGCCTTTCTGTTTGGTACTGTTACAGACATTATCTCACTGGTTCTATTCTGATCACACATTTCTAGAAAGAAATAGCTCTACTGTCACCTGATCTAGAGAAGCCATTCTTAACAGTGAGACTGAATTCCATGTGTTATGAAACCTGAGTTCCTTCTGTCCACTTTCATTTCCTTCTGTCCACTTTCATACTCCCAAAGCCCCTTCTGCCTTCCATGCTGGTGATGCCAGCAGCAGGCTCAACCCCTTGTCTGACCACAGCACTATGGTCTATGTCCTCTGAGAAGTCCAAGATATGGGAACAATTTCTTTCTTTGTAGTTCCATCGATGTATTTACACTGACTGAGCACTAAGCACTGCAGACCAGCAGTGCAGTTCAAAGAAAGCTTCCACTCSGTCCCAAAGGTGTGCAGTGGGAACAGAATGTATCGCTGTAGGAATGTTTGCACACAGGAGTGATTAACAAATCTGCTCTTACTTGCAGTAGCCCTTTTACCCCAGCAATTCAAAAGTCACGAGAAATGTTTAGCACATCCCATGTCATGYTTGCCTGAAGTCCTGCAAAGCAAACATAACTGAACATTCCTGTACAATAGCTGTTTTTTTAAACAGTTACTTCACTATTGTTAACTGAGCTACAAGTTATGACAAGTGATATATCCATAGTCATCCCTTTGGCATTCTTTATAAAAACATGAATCACGGAAACATTCATCCTGAGGAACTCCCATCGTAAGGACATGTACACAGTGTGTCGTTCAGCCTCCCTGTATCTTTCCACTCTGTAAAATGTAACTGTCAGAACAACTTCAATGRATTGTATAGGCCAACATGTAAGTTTGGTAAAGCACAACTAAAAAAACACATGTCAGAATTCATTAGTTATGTTTAACTYCAAGTAATGCTTGTGTACAGAAGAAAAATGAAAATTTTCTTTCTTTGTAAGTCATTCTACCAAACACTGCAATAGCACCATATTGATGTACATTAATGAGAAAACAAAATACTTGGGAAAATTGGCCAAGTAACAAAGCTCAGACATTGAAAAGCATAAACAGGATAAAATAACTACTAAACCAGATCGTGCTTGCACATGATCAACAGGAAAGGGAGGAATTAACCACTGCAGCTGCTCCAAAGTCGTCAAAGAGAAAGGAATAGACTTAACATATCCAAAACTCCTTCACAGGGCTTTCTTCCCATGTTTTTCTCCACAAAAGCYTTTCACCACTTGGGAGCAATGCTTGATGGAAATGGTGTTGACAGCTATTGTTTATGGCACCTTTTGCCTGTCCAAGATACAGAAGTAACAGTAAGTTTCCATGAAAACTGAAATGGCTTCATTCAGAATTGTGCCAGCTTTCTGGAGGTGACAGGAGAGGGTACAAAAGTRGGGTAAGTATAAGGACCATGTCCTATGCTGTATAAAAGGAGAGAAACTCGGGAAAATGATGATGCCTACAGACATCACCGGCATGTTTTCCCATTGGTAAAGGTACTTGTATTGCAAGAGACACAGTGACACCCCCTGTGTTCTTACTCTCCCTCTTTTTCGGGCAACAGATGCTGAAAAGATTTCACTCCCTAAAAAGAGGGCTAAGCAGTAAGAATTTTATCYTAGCTCTGCTCAGGTTCAGACAGTTATATAAATGAAACTCAAGAGAAATACTAAACAATGATTTCCTGAGAAACATTAATCGTTTGGTCTTTGTTTTTTAAATGAAATACTAGATTGAGTTACTTGCTGTAATGATACAGAGCCTATTCATTAAAAGTCATGTGCTTAATGGAATTGGTTTTCAGTACCTGTCCATGAACTCCTCACTATGGCTGTGCAGCTCCCAAGGCTGTTGTGACRCAAAGTTCCAAATGCACTCCCTGAGCTCCACTGATCGCAGGTGACCTTTACCCACAACATTACAGGTGTTAGGTCTCATACTGTAAAGCACCAGTAACTCCTTCCACCTGTAGATTTCAAAATTGATGTGTTTGTCACGCAGGAAAAATGTATGCTTTGCTTTTAGCAAAAGTCCCAGAACTGGTAGGATTTTCAGTATTTCTATGATGCTATGAGCCATAGCTGCTAAGCTCTTGATTCTTAATTTAAATCCTATTATGGAGAAAAAACACTGCAGGTAAAAAAAAATACTCTTTTACAATTAATTACAGCATAAAGAGATAAATATTTTGGTATTGAAAAACTAATGATAAAAAGATAAAAATTATTRTTATAACATCAAAGAAGCAATTTATACTTTTTAAGATAAATAATATGAGCATACTTACTTATCCTCATCATAGATGTGGATATTCAGATCAGAAAAATGTTACATGCATATCGTTAAAAGCTGCAAAAGCAACAATATTTTAAATACAGTATCATGAGCATTTCATTTCTAAAAAAAAATATATTAAAAGTATATAAAATCATGCATCACTTTATAACTACAACTGTACAATTTCAGGCATCTGTTCTAAGTAGAGATCTCACCTTCCTTCTGTTTTGCTTTCTGTATTGGCATTTGTTTATGGTTGAAGAAATAACTATCTCAAATGTATTTGTAGTGATGCTCTTAGCTTAATGTAAAGTYGCCTTCCCTAATAAAGATGCAACCAACAGCCAGGAATTTGCATGCAGATTCCTATTACTAAATCTATTTCATATTGGAATATARAAGTGAACTACTTGCTGCAAGACAAGGTATTTATTGACTTTATKAGCCTTTGCCATGAAACAACTGAAGGTACTCAGTGGTCTGAGAAATAATCTCTGTGAACAACGATTTAATTAGGTTAATATAAATACCAAACAGCATTTTGCCTCTGTGCTCAGTGAAACTAGGGAGTAATGGTAGGGGTAACAGAGACCGTACCAAAGAAAATTTCGATTTGAGATATAAGGGAAAGTTCTTTCCTTTATACMCTCTCAGAGCCTGCAGTCTTTCTTCAGTGCTGTCAAACTTCAAATGATGTTCCTATAAGAACGCATTTCAAGCTGCTATGAATCTCACATATCAGCCTTTCACAGTTAGAATTACCAAACAATTCCWACAGCTGGACTGAGTAAAACAGGGCAGGAAAGACAGCAGTAAATCTAACGCCTGCAGAGTGGCCAGGGCACTCTGTAACTTTGCACAGATGGCATTTAATGCAATAGAGTTCACAATTTAGTTTTTTAGTTTATATTAGCACTTGAATGTGTCTTGTCTGTTGAAAAAAGAGGCAGGCGAGACACCACAACATTGGTAAAGCAGGGAAAAAAGAGACCTAGAAGAAAAAACTGCCGTTTCAAATTACATAATTTCCTTTTGCCACAACAACTCAAGTAATCCACAACCACAAGGTGATTTTCCTCCCTCAAAATCATCCCTCATTTTCTACCATAAACATCCAATGACCTGGACAATACTTGGACATGGGCCCTGATTTTGCAACCCTTGCATATACATTTAAGTTTACTCACATGAGTAGCAACTTTGATTGTAGTAAGACAATTCATGGAACATGTAAATCTTTTGGGATTGCTGGCTTTTTGTTAAGGTGAGGCAGGTTATTAAAATCACTTTGCTTCTGAAACTTTTAACAGGGAACTTTACAGTGGCAGGAAAAAGACGAAAAGATGCACACCCTTCATGGATTTCTTAAGTTGAAATTAATTTTTAAAAGACTCACTGAAGAAGCTAATAGGAATACAGAAATAATCTTTGCCCTGCTCCCTCTCCAAAGTGCAAACAGAAGTTGTCCATGTTGTGAAAAAAGAATTTTAGAAAATTAAAATGATTATTTCAAACTAACACATTCTTCTCTGTCAAACACTGTGCCAAACTGTGCATTATCAGACTTCTGATGTACTCCTCTGAATGATTAATGAAACACTTAACATTATGGATCTCACTGATGCACATCGTGCTGAAATTAGTGACACAACATTTCTAAAACTAAATAACTTAATGTTATGCACACATGGCGTCCTGAATTCACAGATCTCAGTACAGCAATACATTTGGAAAAACGCAGACTTGCAACATGTGATATTACATGGGATGTGTGATTCTAACAAGACATTAAATTCTGGTTCCTTCTATCCATAGCTTCTCTTCAAATGTGAACTGAAAACTCAAGTTGTGCACTGGAAATCCTACAGCCATTGCAGAGTACTGCTTTATGATTCTGGAGGATATCTGAAACAGCAGWTTCTGTGGATCTGAGGTGTATCAACTCTGGACAAAAGGTTGATGCCACTAGCACTAAGAGGTAGCTGTAATAAGGTGGTGGTTGTGTTTTTTGTGTGATTTTGTGGTTTGTGTTTTTTTGAAAACACATATAATAATGTTTTCTGTCTTGGTTTCTTAACAATACTAGCCTGGTACMACTGTGAGAGCTTTCTGCAGATGGGAGCAATGAGAAATCAGATCAATGGATATCAGTAGTGGAAGCACTCTTGTAAATCCATGCCACRACCACATCACTCTGCTCTCAACTTCCTCTGCTTTTCACAATCTTTCAGGATCATCCTTCTCTATTAAAAGACCAAGTCAGAATTCAGCTTATATTGTTTTAACTATTCGACAGAAAGTCTCCACTCAAAAGGCAGATAATTTTATGCTCATAATTCATGAACAGAATTATCCACTAATCCTAAGTAACACTGTTCTTCTTAACTTTTCACTTGAAAATTAAGTACATAAAGCACTGGAAAAGCAAATTTAAAAGGAAAAAAAGAGCAATTTTTTTCTACTCAGAACAACACAAGATATTACCAATGTTTTACTTAGCTGTGACTACAGCATTTAAAAGTTTTTAAAACAAAAGAGCTTTTGTTTACTACAATGTTTGGGCTATTAGGTTATAAATAAATACTAAAGCTATGTGCTGCACATGACAGACCCGACCATCAAAGACATTGTRTCTACAGGTTTTCTCTTCTAAAAGAGATGTGTGAATTAATCCCAGTGTCTAGTTAAAAGAAGTCCTTGAGTTAAGTCAGGGGTTTGCTGTATCAAAAACAGAAAATGGGGCATTTGCAGCCTCTGGGACTCCCAGAAATGAAGTAGTCTCAACTTCCACTTCAGTCAATGGAAATTATRGCTGGATAGATGACGGTGACCAGCAAGATCAGTTTTAAAAGTTGTGCAAAGAACAACTGCCTATTTTCTTACCACAGAAAATCAGCAGGAGGCATCTCATGAGTAATATGCTTCGCCAGTAACAAGTATTCACAGCAATGTTCCCAAGTCATTCAATTTAGGTTGTTAGAAAATTGAAAAATAAGAATATATCAGAATTTGAATCAATAAACAGTTGAAGATAGTTTCAACTTGCATACACAACCTTTTCACCRTTACAGCACTTACTAATATAATGCAGTTTGCAACTTGAATTAAAATCTACACTACACTGAAATAAATGTCTTGTAAAAAGTCAGTTACAAATTGCTTTGGTCTATCTGCAGCTTACTTTACCACCAAAATACAGAAAAACTATCAGGAAATCTGATGTAAGTTTAAAATTGCCAAAAACAATGTATATTTACTTAYAAATAAATTTTCTTTGTATATGGTATTATCACTTAAAAGAATACACTTAATAATAATAAATAAATGCTTTATTCCATTAAATTGGTGCAATCTTATCTTGACTCCATTAAAATCACCTTTGAAAAGAGTTTGATCCAGTTGCTCTTATTCTCTAGTGATATATAGAGCTTCTTTATATTTTATAACAATTTGAACATRTTACAATAAACCACCCAAAAACTAACAGAACTCAACAGACAGACTGGCTAACCAAGAAGATTCCAAGTTTGACATGGTATATGAGCTCCACTGTCTGGGATTACTTGAAAATTAAAAAATCCTTCCTGAAAACTGTAGAACAAAAAGCAAATGTTAGCAGAAATAACAAGAAAAAAGAAAGAAAACCAACAAATTGTATTCAAAACAGTAATCAGTCATTTTCAGAAGCTGTTGCCTCTTCACTCTGTCATTGCTTTTTGTATTCAGAATTTCTATTCTAAGCTTCTTGGAGAAATACGGTTCTTCATTTGATACATCTCCAATAACACATAAATATTATGTCCTTTGTTAGAGCAAAGGAAAATAACAGTCTATTCAGCTGATGGTCCTACATAGCCTGTCAACGTCACATTACACTGGCTGGTTCTTCTCAAACAAGGTGTACTGAATTTCTGAAACAGTCAGAATACGGAAACTTTTGAGGTGGTTACTACTTTTTTTGGTAATGATATAATTACAACAACAAACAAACTCCTGACTTAGCTTCCCCTCCGTTTGCATAACCTCCAGAAGCTACTCTGTTGGGATCATTCAGTTCTTCAAACAGTCCCGTTTCAATGATTTCTTCCTGCCAGGGTATAGGGACAGCACCYGTTGCAAACCTTTTGAAGAACTTCTTATCTTTGTCATCAAACTCAACTCCTCGTACTTCAGAGAAGTCAGCAATGTCTGCAACATCTTTGGCATAGACAACTGATGGGTCTGGCACAAATGGAGGGTCGACAAGGTTTGCCTCTAGCCTGTGGAAATTTATCGTTTTGAAGAACTTATGTTTTCTTGGGTCATCATCTGCATTCCTGCAAGAAAGCAAAAGTTTGTTCACCAGAGTGATATTTTGCTCTCAGAGAGATACAGGGGTCTCTGTTTTTAACATGACAGTATTTTCAAATAAGGAGAGATATATATCATGCAACACAATTCTTTTCTCCTAACCAAAGAACGCTGCATTGCACAACATAAGTGAAGCTGAGAAGCTGGAAACATTCTGATCCCATTACTCATTACTCCACCTCTCAGGGTAAGTCAGCCCGGGCAAGGTGCCACGCAGGAGCTGCAGTGCTGCATCTGGGATACCCCATCCAAAGGTGCACTTCCAGCAGAACTGAACCTACAGCAGGACGGGGAGGGGGAATATGGGATTCACTGTCCAACAAAGSAAGTTCAGTGACTGCCTCTGTATCAACTAGGATAAGAATATCTATTCTATAGAGTAAGAATATGGATTAAACTCTGGAATGGGGTATATTGGGTTACTACATCTATAGAGTGACTCTGAGCAGCAATAATCTGAATACAAGGTTGGTGACAAATCTGGTTTTATCTTCATTCAAAGCATCTACACATTTACAACCTAAAACTCAGTTATGTCACTTAAATAAACACTCCCACTTTTGGTGATTGTTCATTCAAAATAACTTCTTTTACAAATTAAGATTTTTTTTTAGGCAAGAGATTCACAGATTATGACGTTAACAAATGCATGTGTGACACTGTCACAAACAGAACCCTGTATTAACAATGTTAAAACCCAATACTAAAACCCAGAAAGGATTAAATAATTGGAAATGCATAAGTTAAATATATTTGAAGAAAAACAACTGCAGACCTCAAGGAGAGCTTCAACTGTAAAAGAACTAATGAATTGTTTCAYTCTAGACCCATAGAGAGACTTGTAGAATATTTTCTGATGATAAAAATCATCTCAGCCTCAAATGTGTGCTTGTTGAAGCATGACTAAAGACCACAGCTTTTGAACTGTGCCTCTAGAACCATGGCATGCAAAGTCTGAATTTGGAATTCTAGAGAAAGGAAGAGCATAGAGGAGCACTGTCTTTTCCACGCCTATGCATTCTTTTTTAAATGTATTTATGAATGTATTGCTCTTGAAAATGGTAACATAAGAAAACCAAATTTTTCTGGACTTTGGCCTCAGAAAACAGTAGGTCTTAACACATTGCATTTTTATTTTCCCACTTCCTTACAAAATGAAACTTAGCAAAGTGTAAGCCCTCATGTCTTTCTAGAAAATGTTCTATGAATAAAATATAATGCAAACCTCTGGCAAGTGCAAGTGTGTAGAAGCACCAGATAGAAGTAGTAGGTTTGTGCGATTATGGAAAAATCTCTGTTTTTGAAGGCCTCAATCGCATGCATGCAGAACAGCTGCTCCAGCTTGGCCCTACTGCCTGTTCCTCATGCTGCCCTGCTCTGCTTCTAGGCTGCCTCGGTGCTCCCTGGGCACAGSAGAGATTAAACCACCAGCTGCCTTTTCCAGCCCCTTAGACTGGGGCAATTAGAAAATTGTCACTTTGTACCTCTGCTGCCCAGTTCTTCTGAGCAAGCCACCACCCGCTGCTATCCACTGTCCACCACCATGACCAGGCTGCCACATCACAGCCTGAAGAACAATGGATGCTGCCATCAAGGCACGATGGGCAACAAAAAAAACCCCTATGTTTTCAACCCCAAAGCAYCATATGAACAAAATGATGAATGTATACCAATGTATGCCAGGGATCCTGACTTCTCTGCATATACATAGGCTWGCAAAATCATCTCCTAACTTACCTAGCCAGTAATAGTCAAGTACTTGAGCAGACTGATGTGATTTATTTACACTCACGGTTAGCCTGAAGTACAYTAGAGCTGCTGTTCAAATTAACTGGCGCCCTGGGACACTGGTGAGCAAGCAGGGCTTAAAATTCTGTTGGGCAGATGSACTCACAAAAAAAACTCCCTTTATTTTGCTTTTCCTTTCTGTAACATAAACTAAAAAGCGCAAGAAGCTGGTGGAGGCTCCAAAATGGATTGCTGCTGAGTTTCTCCTCCTGAAACCATAAAAAGTTAAAAAATGTAAAGCTACATGAATGCCATCTACTGGAACTGAGGCATCTTCCAGCTGGTTAGAGAGGAACTTGAGCTTATCCTTTGTGAACTGCATTTTTATGTAACTTAAATAGGAAGAGCAAATGAACTCACATGAAGTAGGTCAATTTTGTATTTTTCCACTAAAAAAATTTTGAAATCTCTTTACAGGTTTTAAATTAGAGGTACCAAAMGGAAAAAGCTTGAGTGGAGAAAAGGGGTTACATCTTTCCTGAGTTAGCTAATGAAATCACATCTTCAATAAAAGAGTGGAGTGTTTTAAAAGGTCAGGTGTACAAAATAAAGCTGTCTTTGAGCAGCTTTAACTTATGCAACAGGCACTTCTGTGGATAACCCAAGCTCTTGTTGTCCTTAGTAGAATTACAGGGCTAATCTTTACATAAGGATGAGCTGTCCTGAATAGTATCGCCCTGTTTAGGACGTGCATGCAGACTTTTATTCTGGATCACGCTTAGGGTATACMTCCCATTGTTTTCTTTCTCTGAGCATGGCACATCAAGTAAGGATATCTCAAACAGTAGAAAATGAAAAATAATATGTGCAGTAACCTTTCTGTGTACATTTCTCCTATTGCTGAGAAGTAACAGAACAATAAGCAGACAAAGATTGTAAATTATTCCCTTGGCAAAGGGAACGTGGTTACAGTAAGTGAATAGTCTGCTGCTGGTTTTGTTTCAGATTTGCTGAATGAACTCGACCAAGTCACTCATAATTTCTAAATTTCACTTTTCCCCATCTTTGAAATTTGTTTACTTCACAAAGTGCTCTAAGTTCAAATGTCTACAAAGTATGCTGACTTTAAGTTAGAATGCTCTGAATGTTTTTGTGTTAAATTTACTTTTAAAATAAGCTTTTAAAACATATTAAAATAATATAGATTTTGTATTAAACATACTCTTTGTGCTGCTGAAAATAACTTTTTTCTGCTGCCTTGCATAGTTGCTGAGAAAATTCATCAGGCACAAAGACTAATCATCTTCATTTAGCAAAAGAATATTAAGAATATGTGTATTAATGATCTGTTATATTTCATTAGAGTTAATTCTTTTAGACAAATGTTTGCCTAACATTTTGAAAAACTGTTCACATTGTTATGAAATATAAATTTAGAATCTATGCATTTTCAATGAGATCTTTTGTGTACTCCACCTTTAGACTGGAAAAGCACACATCTGTATCCACAGATGATTCAAATRGTGGTGATAGTACCTAAAGATAGGTACTATCAGTTTCCTATTAATTTTTTTACATTTTTCTATTTCTTTTATTTGTCTATATTGCAAATGTAGATCTGCAACCTGTCTCATTAGAAATGCACTGAATTATTTATACACACACACATATAGGAGGGATCAGTGCTTTYACCAGTTAAACATTACAAGGTTTARCTTTGCAATTCTCTTCTTATTGAAGAGCTCCTTGCTAAATCAGGGACACATCCACCAGTACTCATCAACCCAAAGCYACCTCTGAAGTGCCCAGAAATGTTTTACTTTATAGGACTTTGTGCYAAATACTTTCTTCTCCTTTTTCTCCCTGGAATGAGTCAGGATGACCAGAACTTCGACATTTTTTGAAAGCACTTGAGCAAAGCAAAGGGGTTAAGGTCTCTTTAGCAAGAAGCCAATGACGCAGCCTTGCAAATTAGATATCTGCAGGGAAGAGAATTCACATTGCAGATCTGGATTTCTGCCCACATCATTCCAGTAAGCGATACAGCCTAACATTCTGTATTCAGTCTGCACTAGCAGGGATGCAGGCGTCTACTTGCATATACTTTATCTTTAGGAAAGAATGTGCAAGAAAAAGGAGTTGTCCCTTTCTCCCAAAACTATATAGAGTCTAAGACAGAAAATAACAAGAAGGCAACTCCTATGAGTCATCTGGAACCMGGATAGATGATCACAATTTCTCAATAACATTCCTTTATTTCCATATTATCTTGAACGGGAACGAGAAAATTCAATACTCTGTAAAAAGTGAAGATCTAAGTCATTGTGTGCAATAAATAACTATATTTATTAAGCTTTTAATAAGCTTTTTAATAAGCTTTAATCTGTTGTACCGAGATGGAGAAGGCATACCTGCTTCCTAAACGGTCCTCTTTCTTCTTAGCCAAAAACAGCTTGCAAATGTCTTTCGCTTCTTCTGTAAAGCTCGCATTTTCAAACTTCACCTCATCTTCCAGAGTTCTTCTTCGAACCTCATCCTTATTGACCTTTTCTTTGTAATCCTTGAATGGTGTTCGCCCAGCCACCATCTCATAAATAGTACACCCCATGGCAAACCAGTCCACRGGATAGCTGTAGTCCTCTTCCTTCAGGATTTCTGGAGCCATGTAACCATTTGTCCCAGCCTATTGCAAACACACAGACAGATTTACTATACAAGGTCAGTAATGAAATGCATACAATTAACAGACTAGTCTATAATTCTTCCAAAATATTAATAATCCTACTGATATATTTGTATTTAGAAACTTTTACCTTTTTTTAAATCTAGAAACTGTGAGGTACAACTTTTTTTGCACATGGACTGTATCTCTTGTTAAACGTCTTGGCACATAGGAAAACTGTGTTAAATATGCTTTTCAAAGGTGAAATATCTGTGCAATTTCTGCTGAAAAGTGGTTTATTTTTAGATTCACTGCTAKCTTGCTTTCTTCTTCCATTTTATTTTTTTTCTGTTGAAGATATTTTAAGTTTTGTTGTGTAAACACAAGTAGCAATCAATTTGAAAAGATTTTTAAAAATACAAAAATCAGGAAAAACAATCACTGATTCCTCCCCATCCCGTTCAATRATTGTAACTGTTCCAATATGGGGTCTGCTGCCAGTGAGAAAATTCTCACCAAACCAGTAGCTGAGCTGCATGAACATAGTTCTCAGCCACCTCCCTCTTAGTTTCTGGATAAATGTTCTACCACCAAGGGCCAAGAAAAATTCTTAAAACCAATGTAAGAAAGTAAATCTATGAAAATTAYAATTAATAAATTACACACATTTGGGTGAAAGAACAAGTTCGTATTTCCTGCTGAAAAAAAGATGCCTGAATAAAGACTATTTACAGCACTAATGGGCCCTTCTCTGAGAGGGGAATCTGCCTGCTTCCTTGCCAGCCCAGGCCTGCCACTTTCCCCTTGGGGGACAGGCTGCAGCATTTGAAACAGCTCCTGCTGCCTCTGTCCCCAGGGAGCTGATTCACCTGGCAGGGAAGCCAGATCAGCCTCTCTCTGTGCTTTCTGCTGCACTGTTCCATGACTGAGGACGTGAGATTTCAATTGGAACAGCATTCCCTCAGCTGAACTCATGTTTACTGCTGCATCTCATGCTCTGTCTTATGTATTTACCAGATTCAGCTAACAGTGATAATCATGGCAGAACTGCTTTTACCACTCATACCTTTTTTAAATACTGGGACTGATGTATTACCAATAAAACAATTTAAAATTAAAAACTATGTTTGCAACATCCCACTAAAGGTTATTCAGGATGGYCATTATTACTGCTACCAGAATACAATTAGTGACAGAGATTCACTCCAAAGCAAAAGTTCGAAAACGGTAACTAAAGCTAAGCTCATTTGGACAAATTGTATTTATAAAAAGCACAGCTCAACAGATGAATTTTATTTTATGGGGTTGGATAATTTCTCTATTTACAAATTTGGGCACCATACTTCCAAGTGAGGCCTCCTCATAAACTTTAGCTTCGTCACTGCACATTATGACATATACTCTACTGTAAACAATGTGTTCAAGGGGGAACATCGTAGCATCAATTAAAACATAAGCCTAATAGACAGAAAATTAAATCCACTTTATTTTCTCTCTTTGTAGTTTGTTTTACTGATAAGGATATAGAACAAAATCCTCCATATCTCCAAAAATCTCCAAAATCTCCAAAAAGAGAAATGAGATGAGAACAAAAGTATCAGTCAGGCTGAAAGCCAAAGGAAAGGTTAAAGCCAACAGTCCCCTCCCTCACTAAAGGCACAGAAATACAGAGGAGTAGTTTGGGCACTGCAGCTTCTGACATCATCCCACGAGCAATGTGTACTGCTTACATGGATTCCTCTAAATAAAAGTTAATATTGAGAGATACCCTGACAATATTACATTTTTAGGTATTATTACTGCTCTGGTCAGGGAAGAGGACAAATGGACCACAAGGTCAAACATGGACAAGAGGCCCTCAGATCCATCTGGCTCCAAAAAAACCTGGAAGGGAGATGAGAAGTTGAAAGTAGTAGAGAAATTTTGGTACAAAAGCACGCACACAGAGATCACTGTGGATTAGTAAACACAGMGCTAAATAGGTTTCTGAAATACTTTTTTTCTCCTTCTGGGAAGCAATAAACATTCTTATTTTGAAGCTGGGGCACTAATGCCTTGAAGAACTATTGAGTCACATTACCATCAAAATGTGCCTTGACAGCACAATATGGTCTTTCTGATAAGACATTACTTTGCTGCAGCTTAGCATCATCATACAGAACCTGGATASATCTGACATGGAAAATGAAATCTACTGTCACAAATGCATCTCAAGGCAGCTCCTTTCAATAGTGCCTATTTCCTTCCATTTGTGTTTTCCATAGTTGTTTTTTTGAAAGAAATAGCTGCCAAGTAACCTCATTCTCTTCCATGTGYGTTTTCCACGTACCCCATCCAGAAGAGCACTGTGCTTTACCATGGTGCTTGTGTTTCTCAAGAAYAGAGAAAGCAAGGCCATCACCACAGACCAAAAACATGGCACGACCACAACTTAATATGAAACAGAATGGACCAAAACCAGCCTCCCTTCAGACTGAAGTGACAGGCTGTGGATGAGCTTAAATGTGGACAAGAACTAAACTTCAACACTCTAAATTAGTAGCACTGAAATTTTGAGCTGTCACTGAGTTGATCCAATTCCATCTGAGGAAGTCTAGAAAAATATCGTTCTTCTGACATGCCARACCATTTCAATTCAGAATTTCATGAGAGCTGGTTTTCTCATAGAATTTCACCCCAACTTGAATCTAAAAATAAATCTCTCCCAATCCTGACACTTTCTTTCTATTTACAATGAAGGAACAGGCTAAGAAGCAGGGATCTAAATCTAATCTSATAACCCCTGAAACTGAAAACCCACTAAAACATTACTATTTTATAGAACAAGCAAACACATTTCACAAATAGTCAACAGTGATTTTTAAGGAGAAAGAAAAATAATAAGGGGGAAAAATACTTAAATCTCTATCAAAACAGCTATCTGAAGAAAGGGAGAAAAGAGCTTCAATTTTAGTCTTTTCCACCTATTTCTGTATATGTGTAGTTTTGGCAAAATCATTTGGGAAAAAGATGCTAAAGCCTTTAGCATTTGCTGTTTCAGAGAACATAGAAAAAGAAAAGGAATTATTCAGCACCTGGAACTGGAAGAATACAGATCCTTCAAATGAAGATTTAATTCTATCTTTGGAGAGTAGGCAGCATTAGAGGGAAGGTAATACCTAATATCCCTRCACTAATCGTTATGAAGAACAAGGTGTAAAAATCAGATCATCTTTCCAGGAAAAGAGATCCTATGGCAACAGGAAAGGCAGCCTCAAAGATCTCAGGAGAGGTTTATCTAAAGAGGTAAAACAGAAGCTTTGTGAAGGTAGCTTTTCAACTGCACAACTCTCACAAACAGATATGAGCAGCAAAAAATAGTATATTAGGTAGAAAACTTATCCATGTATCCCCAAAACAAAAGTGAATTGAAGTAAATTACTCTTGGCAGATCATGGGGTAAATTAGTATACTATAAATTATATATATATAATATATATATATACTATACTATATATATTGTAAATATATATACTATAGTATATATATATATATATACTGTAAAAATATATATATAGTATACAGTGTATATATATTATAAATATATATAGTATAGTGTATATATATAGTATATATATATAATATATATAGTGTATATATATTACACTATACTATATATAGTGTAAAAATGAAAAAAAAGGACAGAAAGCAAAGAAATTAAAAGCTACCACAAAAGAGAAATGCTTAATTTTTGAGAAGGGGTCTATTTCCCATGAGCTTGTATTGAATATTTAATTCAGTTAGAATTATCTGACCATGCCTCAGAATGGATATCTCTGAGTATGGGATACTAGTACGTTTATCACACAAAAAAATCACTAGGTTTGTATGATCTGGAAGATGTTTTCATTCATTGCATTTATAAGCAAATTCAGAAGCTGAATATTAACTGAAACCCACTTTTGCTTGCTAGATCTTCACATGGATAAATTTCACTCTTTTAATAAAAACAGGGAAAACAAAAAACCCACACTCAAAGATAATTCCTTTGTTGTCCACTCAACACTAATAGGATGTCCCCTGGATTTTGACTAAAACCAAGCACATTATTTTCTTCTTCCCTGTAGAATTCCTGGTAAGACCAGGAACCATTTGAACATAGATGTTAACGGATCAAGTGGTCTTACAGAGACACAAACACATGGTATTAYACCTTCACTGACCTGGAAGCATCTAACAGGACACAATAAATAAAAATATCACAAAGAAGACAAAGAATATCATCCCAACTTTTTATAGAAGACAGAAATCTTAGGCCACTGCAGAGGCACAGAACTTTYTGAAGCATTGTCAGTACAACACTGGCTATTTTTTGCGTGCTCTCCATCTAATACTGTTTTCTGTGATGATAAGCAGGATGCCTTACTTATACATGCTGCTTGAAATATAAAAATAGTCATTAAATTTCAGTCAATTAAATTTTAATTTACTTGCTTTTGAAAAAGGTTCACAGATCTACTTGTCCCTTTATTTCACTATCTTGAGAACAACCCAAAAGACTATTTTTCAATAATCCTCTAAAATGTAATGACCAAATGCTGCCCTTGGCATTAGTGAAGAAGTTCTGTTTARTGGAATTATTGCCTTGAGTGTGGTTTGACAGGGTATAGTAGAAATGACTCATCTGAAAGTATACAAATGTTTCTTTTGTGAAATGTGATCCGGCATAAATTTTTCAAAGGTCACATAATTATAATCTTTCAGCAATTCAAGATGTGATCCTGAGAAACACTAAGTGCACTCAGATCCCAGTGCAGTCAAGGGGTATTTGGCAGAGCAGAGCTGGAGCAGAACGAGGCCTGCGGTGCAAGCAGCTCRCAGATCTCTCTGACTGCTGTCCCAGCAAGGGAAAGCCCCTTCAACACCGCCCTTGTCCCGGCTTCTGGCAGGTGCAGGCAAGAATAAGAGAACTCTCTGGAGCTTTCAGCAGCACAGGAACAGGCAAAAGGGGAGAAACGGGATTTAGATCTCRCTACCTTTTC